GTCAATTAGATCTCATCAGGAGTGGCTGCATTGTCTTCCTCTGTGGCCTGGTAATGCTGCTTCCCTCTCAGGGAGAGGTAATTAAAGAGCAGTCCAATCAGTTCATGTCAGAGACAGTCCCTGTTCCTATTACAATGGAACCCACTTGGATACTGAACTGCCATGGGCTACATCTGTGCAGAGGTCTTAGGTTATCTCCATGCATAGTCTTTGGTTGGAGTATCAATCTCAGGAAAGACCCCTGTGTTCAGATTTTTTGGTTCTGTTGCTCTCAGGAGGCATTTTAAAGGTGATTGATTGTCTGTCTATCAGACTATCTGGTTAGATAAGGAATAGGTGATATTTTTATTACAGTTTTATTTATTTACTTTGTGTGTGTTTCTTGGGGAGTGGAAACACGTCGTGTCACAATGCATACATGAAAGGCAGAGGACAACTTGCAGAAGTCGATTCTTTCCTCCTACTCTGTGGATGCCAAGGATCAAACTCAGTTTGCCGGACTTAGAGACAAGCACCTTTACACGCTGAGCTATCTGGCTGGGGAATCAAAGCCAGGACTTCTCATATGCTAGGCAAGCAGTCTAACACTGAGCCAGCACATGACCAACCATACAATTTTAAAAATTGAGCAGATATTGAAACTCATAAAAAAGAAAAAAATTAAAATAATCTATATTTTAGATTGCCCAGTGACTGACACTTTTCTATTTTTTCAGTTTTAATCTTCATTAAAGGGTAACCCACTTCCATTCAGATTTGGGGGTAGCTTAAGCTCTTTGTAATCTTTCTGCCTTAGACAGTATGAGATAGATAAATATATACCTAATTTATGAGTACATATATTTCTGTGTGCAGATATATCAAATATAATTAAGATATATGCTATAGAGGTATAGTAGATATATTAGGTATATTAGATATATAGATATATAAAATCTATAATTACATGCGCACATATATTTGACCAATCTCAGTTGTCACTGCAATAGTGCTATGCAACAAATTCCGTCCACCTGGAATCGAAGCACTCGGAGGAGGATTATAAATTCAAGGCCAGGGCTACAGTAGCAAGACCCTATCAAAACAAAATAAAAGGCAGGGCATGGTGGTTCAAGCTTTTAATCCCAGAGAGAGGCAGGAGCAGGGTCAAAGACAAATGCGGGCAGATCTCTGTCAATCAGAGGCATGAAGAGACTGTCTCAAACAGACACAAAAATAAAAACAAACAAACAAAAAACCTCCCTCAAACTCATTGACCTAAATTTAAAGTTATTTGTTTTTTCTGATGCTTTTGTAAGCTGGATTCTGCTGAGTGGCTCTGTGTTACAGTGTGTTGTTGATTGGGCATGCCTTCTAACCATGTGCAAAACTCAGATCTGTTCTGAGGCCAAAGTTACCTGGTCTTCTCTTGGCTCTAGCCAAGAGATGCAAGGAGATAAACCCAATGCAAACCTACCAAGCCTCTGTTTGTGCTTTTGTCTTGTTTGTTCTAATTCCATTGTCCAAGACACGTCACATGGCTAGATCCTAAGTAAAGAGACAGGAAAGCACAGCAGTGGCCAAGATCAACATTGGTGGTTCAGGGAAGTAGTAGTTATTCCCAGGGAGACAAAGGTGAGAGGGAGGGATATGTGTGTGTGTGTGTGTCCATATGTGTATGTGAATATACAATGTGTGAGTGTGTGAATGTGTATGTACAGTGTTTATGGAGTACAGAAGAGGGCATCAGAGTCCTGGAGCTAGAGTTACAGGCAGTTGTGAACCACCTGACTGACTTAAGGGTGCTGGTGCTCGAACTCAGATCCTCTGAAAGAAAGAACAGAAAATGCTCTTAACCACTGAGCTGTCTCTGCAGTTCCCAAGGGAGGGACTGCTTTAGAGGATAATAATCCTAGACACCTGCTGAGATACTCTCTTTTGAGACCTTTTGCAGTCTTGGAACTCACCTGGCTGCTAGCTTCATGTACCCTGCCTGAGACATCTCTGGCCCAGAAATTGCACTGCTTCAATTTACAGACCACTTTGGCTGTCCCGTGGCTGTTGCGCCCAGTCTGCTCTCATGACTCTTTCATCGATTTCCCCCTAGAATAATTCGCAGAGGTGTATGCAGAAGATTTTGCTGAACATTTGGGGCAGCAAAAGAGTTTTACATCTGCGTTCATAGAGCTGTATCACTCAGCCCCTCTCCTTTGGATTCTATTTAGCATTCAGCCCACACACAGCCTCCCTAGTCAATCTTGCAGGAGAATTTCTCTGCTCTCAAGGATTCTGATTGTCTCATCTCATAGCCTTTGTGCAACCAGGTTCAGTTTTTGTATTATTCGTTGAATGTCTGTATACTGAGAATGTGTGTTCCTCCCCACCTTGATGAACTCTTAGTCCAGGTGGGGAAATTAATAATGCCTGTTGATATTTGGGGGCCAGGTTGTCCTTCTCTGCAGGGACTGTTTTGTGCATTGTAGGGTGCTCATTAGCTTTCCTGGCCTCCACTTGCCAGATGTCAACAATGCCAGTGTTCATCCCTTGAGTTACGAATAATAACTGTAGCTTCCTCCAGGAGGCAAATCACCTCAATAGAAGGCTGCTGCTATAGCATACATTAGACTTGATAAGAATGCTGACAAGTAACAATAACGGATTAAAAAAGATTCAGAGGTGGGGCTAAAGATGTCACTTAGTTGGTGGAGTACTTACATAGCATATGTGAAGGCTTCTGTTCTAGTCACAATAGCCAGACATAGCAGTATGTGCCTGTAATCTGACACTCAGGGGGCAGAGTCAGGAGTTTGCAGTAAGGCTCGCATCCCTGAGGCCCTGTCTTAGAACAAATAGAACAGCAGAAAGAAAATAATAGAAGCTGCAGTGGAAAATCACTCCAACATGTGACTCTCTGGAAAATGAAGGGGCAGGGGAACCTACAGAGACCTCAAGAATGGTTCTAGGTGTGTGCTGAGTTTCCTGGAGAAGAGATAAATGTAGCACACCAGAGCAAGCAGAGATCCTCCGTGTGAGCTAAGCACAAAGGGAACTGGGCCTGACAGTAACATTGGGGTGGGGGGTCAGGTTGTAAGGGAATATTGCATGCTTTGGGGTTCTGTAAGTCACATGACTCCCACTTCTACTGGGTAGACAGATGAGTGTGTCTGACTCTGTGCTCATTTGAGGGCAGAACATTTCTTACATCCAGGGAAAAACGGCCGAGGATGGCGCAGCCTCACCTAATCAGTTTCTGCTGTGTCTTGATGTCCCTTGCCTCTCAGAAATTTCACTCTGAATTCTTCATTTTAAGTGGTAGCCAGTTCCTAGGAGAGTTGAGACAATGGGAGAGGAGGAGAGCAAGGGAGATCACCTAGTCAGGCGTCAGTGGCAGCTGAGCTTTCATGATGGCCAAGAACAATGGCTAGCAGCAAAAATGGATGAGTGAATGACCAATGGGTGAATGAATGAACTACAAGTTCAGACCAAAGAATTCAAGAGGACCAGAGTGTGGAGTCTTTTAGGCCAAAGACATAAATTTCTGCATAATCCGCAATGACCTGGCTGCAGTACAATACTGGCCCTGTAGCCCAAAACATGCAATGTTTTGTAGCAAGGAATGTGAGACCTTGTGGAGCCAATGCAGTAAGAGCTAGGACAGTGGTTGGGAGTGGGGATGGAGTGGGGGCCTCCTAGCTTGAGTTCTTATGTCAAAGCTCTGCAACAGGTACTAAACCATACCAGGCCTTGATGATCATAATGGAGTTCCTTACTCATAGAGTTATTGGGAAAGGTTAACTGAAATAGCCCATGTGTAGTAGTCAAGGTTATCTAGGGTAGCAGAACTCAGGTAAACCATTCACATATATATGTGATTTATTGGAATGGCTTCTAGGCTGCAGTCCAGCTAACCCAACAGTTGTTGACTGTGTTGCTCATTAGTCGCTCTGTCCACAGGAGAATTCAGTAGTTACTCAATCCACAGGGCTGGATCTCCCAGCTGGTCTTTCAGTATGTGCTAGAGTCCCAAAGAAGTAGACTCTAATGCCAGTGAAGGAATGGTTGTCCTAGCAAGGTGAGAGCAAAACAGGCAAAGGGCAAAAGCTTTCTTCTTCTAAGTCCTTATTTGGACTCCCAGCAGAAGGTATGACCCAGATTTAAGGTGTGTCTTCCTGCCTCAAAGATTCAGGATAGAAGCAGATTCACCCATTTCAAATGGAACAAAAATAATCTCTCACAGGTATGTCTCCATTTCAGGATTGTAGCTCATTCCAGATGTAGTCAAGCTGACAACCAAGAAAAACCATCACACCATGTGAATTAGTTCTTGAAACGGTGCTCAACATAAACTAATGTGTATTCTGGCTATTATACTAGAAGAATACAGACACTGAGTTTTGCCCTTAAGTCACAGCCATAACTACTCTTTTGAAATAGTCTTGGTCTCTTGGCAGTGCTAAAGGTTTCCTTCCTGAAAGCGTACAACATAGTTGTAGCAACCAAGAAACTATCCAGAAGCTTGGTGGCAACTGCATCTGTTCCATCCATTGTGTCTCTATTTGGCACTAGAGGTCACTGAGGGAGAGAGCAACTCCAGGCATCTGGCCACAACCACATCTTCCTTGAGGAACACTGGCCTTTTGCTCTTTGCCTTTTGCCCTTTGCCCTTTGACTATGCTAAGAAAATAGACATTATTCTGAAATAGCTAGGCGAATGTGAACCTGTTTCCCTCCAATCGTGTGTTCTGAGCTGTGTGAACATAACCTACCTCTCAATAAGAGATACACACATCAGCAGGGTTGTGTGCCACAGAGTGGTGGCCATGAAGCAAGGGAGGCAGCCCACGATTGTTTTTCTCTGAGCAGGGTATTCCCAGCAACAAAGTTGCATGCACAGGACACTCCGTAATGGAAAGATCTTGCCCTGGTTTCTCAGTGTAGTGAACAATGGGAGGTACGGCTGCTATCTTGCCAGTGGATGCCAGGACAATAAACATCTTGTGCTCTGTTTATGTGTCTTTCAGGCTGGAGCAGGAAATACAAGTGCTCGAAAGTGAGGAGTCCCAGATATCTGCCCAAGAGCAGATCATCCTCGAGAAGCTGAAGGAGACAGAGAAATCCTTCAAGGACTTGCAGAAGGTGAAGAAAAAAAAAAAAGCTGGTTTTCTTTAAACCAAATCAGGGGGCAGTCCCTAGAGAAAGCCTTCCTAACGCTGAGACCCTTTAATTCAGCTCCTCATGTTGTGGTGATCCCAACCATAAAGCTATTGTGTTGCTACTTCACAACTGTAATTTTGCTGCTGTTATGAATCATAAAGTAAATATTTGATACGGAGCATATCTGATATGCCGCTCACAAAGGGGTTGTGACCCACAGGTTGAGGACCACTGGGCTGGACAGTATCTGGAGAAGTCTGAGCGATACCCTCTGAAAAGAAGGCAGAAGTGGCAGGAACAGGTGTCATCCCTACAGCAGGGTGGCCTGTCCTCACCGGGAGGCACGGAGACAAGTCTGTTAAATTAATCTCATTTATTTGCTGTCCACACCCCATACCTCTCCAATGTCTGAAAAGTCTTCAGATTAGGCACCAGAAGTGTAAATCCAGTTCCTATTAAGCACATTTGATGACCTCTTGTGGCTTGAATTACAATCTGCCTGTGGAGTCTTTCCTTTTTGAAAAGTCTAGAAGCAACACTGTAGCAAACGGGCGGGCATCCCGATACAAATGATATAATTCATGGAATTCCTTTCTGTAAACACAAATGATTCTATGAGAGGCCTTGAGGCTCTGAATTTCCCAGGACCCCATTTTCTGTCTCCTGTCTCAGTGATAAAAACAAATAAACAAACAAACAAAACCTGTATAAAATTAAAGGTGGGATTAGAATATTGTATCTCCAACACAACTCAGAATGGTTGCTGGAGGATTGAAACGCTCTCTCAAACTGATTGACGTTCCATGTAAGCTGAGAATGTAAAATCCTTAGCTGATCCCAGAAGGAAAACAAGCTTGGGTCTTGCCTGCTGCTGGCCAAGTTCCGGGTCTGTGTTTGGGGGTTGGGGGTGGGACACCTGAGGCACACGCAGTGACGCTCTGCCCTGCTTTTGTCTCCACAGAGCTTCTCCACTGCTGATGGAGGTAAGTCCACTCTGCCCTCGCTGTACAGGATGCTTTCCACCTGGGCCGCTGAGTAGTTCTCATTCAGACAGACTCACCAGGAGGCACATGTGAAGTGACACTTCCTAAGAGCATCCGGGGCAAGGGGCAGCAGCCTAACCGGCAGGGGCCCACGTTGTCATCTTTATTGCCTCTGCTTCTTGATTTGGTACTTCTATTAGCACACTGGCTAGCTCTCCTTCCCATGGCCTCCCCGAAACACTTGCTGTCTGTACTTTTCTTGAAAAGGGTTGGCAAAAGAATGTGCTGGAGTCAGAGCTAGTCCCTTGCAGGAACCAGACCAACACCCTGAGTCACTAAGTTGTATCAGAGGTGACTTGATGTTTAGGAAACCTTCTGAGGCCTCTGGCACTTTCTTTGTCTTTCTTCCCTCCATCATCAGAGCACTAGAGTTTTTCTGCCCTTCCAGGGAAACCGGGCTAGGCATAATTTCCCTCCCTGCCATGACATCTGACCTCCCTAAGCCCTGGACAGTGGGAGTAGGACTCTAGTCTCCCTAATTCCAGCCAGACAGGAAGGGACGGGTCTTTCTGTCCCCTCTTTTGCCTTCCTGGGCTGTGAGAATGAACTTGGTACTATGCCTCTGTGCTTGGATGCGTCCCCTGACCTCAGCTACAAATTCAAAGTTGCTGTTTTCCTCTTGGTCCTCACTAGATGGGCTTTGAAATGGAAAGACTCATGGGAGCATCAGCTGCTACCTGCTGCTCTTGTGGTTTTCATGCAGCCAGCCTCTAGCTCAGGAAGATGATCAGGGGTCAGAGGAGTTGGCATGAAAACATTTCCCATCATCACTCAGAAAAAAAAAAAGTGGGGGATAGTTTTTTAAAATATGATGGAGTGTAATTCATTTCTTTTGGATCGACCACAGACTTGATATTTATATGTAGGACAGTGCTGACTGGTGAAAAAAAAAAAGTAAAATAAACAACAGAAAAAGTATTATGATTTTTACCCCCAGTGAGTAAAAGCCCTGATTTGAGCTCCCTTGTAGGTGATCTTTGAGAAGACATAAAGGAAACCTTCTGTTGTCAGAACCTGTAGCAAGGACACACCAGCAGGAACTCTGGGAGAAAAGGACCAACCACTTTTCTAAGAGAGAAGCCCAGCCCCTCTAGGGTGTGACTGGATTGGGTCATTTCTGTGCCTTGAGTGTGGGACACAGATGAAGGCAGAGGCCTTGGGGATCTAGGAGAATAGCACAGAGAGCAACAGAGTTGAGAGGATCACGGAGGTGGAGATACTGCCCGGCTGGGCTGGGGCAGGAACACAGACCCACCGTTACTCGAATCTGCAGAAGGCGTGTTGTCCTTTCATGCCGTGCCCTTCCCCTTCCTCCTATCCCTTCCTCTAACCAGGACCTTTCTTGGTGATTTCTCTGATAGTTAGGAATGGGAAGGGATCTGTATGTCCTGCCCAGGATCCAGCTGTGTCTGGCATAGTGCCTGCATAGTCTACTTCTTAACAAGCACAAATAGAGCCATATTATAAGTTGGTACCACTCTCTCTTTCGTTTGCACCCCGGAAGCCTCCACTCATTTTCTCCTGCAGCCTTCCTACTGTATTCTCTGCACCCTCCAAGCATTCACAGAGGTAGGAGGCATCCTGACAAAAGACCTTGGAAACCCAAAGGTGGATGAAGAAGGCAGTCTTAGGAGGCTATGATTTTCAGGGATCCACAGGAGGTATTTCTGTGGTGGTACCTGTCACCCTACATTGTGATTCCTGACCTCTATGGTTCTAGCTAAGCCTGGATGACTTACCCCTCAGTTTCACCTACTAGCAAAGAAGGAAGTCTGAAGAAGGGCACATGCTAATAAGAATACGATCCATGTCTAGGTCATTTCATGGTCTGAGACTAAAAGCCCCAACACATCTCACTTGGGGGTCTTGGAGAAACCATTTTCAAATTCTTTGTTTCAAAGATTCTAAGTTAATGAGACGCCCTCTTAGAATGGATCAACTGTTGGTATTAAAGCTTAGTAAGACATTATTCTAGAACAATGATACTGGAAAAAAATCCCTCAGTTTCAGAGAGATGCTGATTACAAAATCTTGTTCTAGCTTGGACTATATGAACTGTGTAGATGCTGCAGAGAGTTAATCACAGCCTCTTCTACCTATGGGTGCCAAGGAGAAGGAGGATGGTGTGTGTGTGTGTGTGTGTGTGTGTGTGTGTGTTGTGTGTGTGTGTGTGTGCATGCATGTGTGTGTATGTGTGTTTGCAGAACCATACACAATGGGCACTCCCTGCGTATGAGCCCACATATTAGAGGAAGTGGTAATACTGCTGGGTGTTTGATAGTTTAATGACATTGCAGCCCTGGTCATCAAAAATGGTTCATTCCATCCTTGATGACAATTTTCTGATCAAGCTTCAATATGACCCTCCTCCATTTAAATGATATTGTTACCTACCAGAGCCTTCAGCCTGCATATGTGCTATCTTTACTTTTTTTTTTTGTTTGTTTGAGTATAAATTGCTTATGATATGTGCTTTACTTTCATCTCTGTTGCTGTGAAAAAAAAAAATACCCAGAACCAAAAACCTCAGCTTAGGGGAAGAAAAGTTTATGTTAGCTCACAATCTCAGCTTACAGTCCATCATAGTAAAAAAAAAAAAAAAAAAAAAAAAAAGTCAAAGCAGCTAGTCACATCATATCCACAGCCACAGTGAGGAGCAGAGAGAAATGAACACATACGTGCTTATTCAAGCTCAGCTGCCTTTCTTCATTTACACAGCCCTGGATCTCCTACCTAGGAGATGGTGCCACCCACAGTGGGCAGGTCTTCCCACACCAATCACCATGAGACAATCTCTCAATGGGCTGGAGAGATTGATTGTTTAGTATTTAAAAGCACTTGCTGTTCTTGCAAAGGACCTGGGTTTATTTTCCAACACCCACAATGTGCCCTCCACTTCCAGGAGATCCAATATCCACTTCTGAATTCTGAGGTCATCAGACATGTATGTGGTACCCATAATACATGCAGGCAAAGCACTCATAAGCATAAAATAAAATAAATACATCTAAAAATGTAAGGTGCTTGTAGGCCAACCTGATCCAGAAAAACCCCTCACGGAGGCTGTCATCCCACTCATTCTAGATTCTAGGTCCTTGATGTAATTCTAGATTACATCAAATTGACAGTTAAAGTGACCATCACAGCATGTATTTTCTGCTATCATTGTTCTAATGTGAAGCTGTAGCCTCACAAACAAAGGGACAGGGACATGTCCATCCTGGGCCCATCTCACTCTTGCTGTTGGATACTGATCTTAGATTCCTGTCCTATCCCGGTCTGTGGTATCCTGGGGCCACACCAAACCCTCCATACCAAAGGGAAATCTCAGCGTTTGGCTGCCTATTGAGTCATGTTTCAAGAAGAGTGCTCAGCAGGGTTACAGGGTTGCTGTATGTGTTCTTCATAACTACTGCCACGTTTGAGCCCTCCTGCAACAAAGGTATGCTCTGATTATGCCCCATGGGGGATGTTCTCTAAACTCTCTGACAACACAGAGAATGCTCAGGGACCCTCTCGCTTTGACAAGAAGAGGACAGCTTAGTGACTGAGGCCAGCTAAAGGCCGTTTGTGATGTGTGCTGAGCTTTCGAAGACTTCCTGGCTGTGTGATAAATAAGGTTGAGTACTTTTTTGGGTTTGTTTGTTTGGGTTTTGTTGTTGTTGTTGTTGTTGTTATTTTAAGACATAGTCATTCTATGTAGCCCTGGATGTCCTGGAACCCATCATGTAGTCCAGGCTGGCCTCAAGTGCACCAAGATCTACCTGCCTCTACCTCTGGAGTGCTTAAAGGTTAGCACCACCTCACCCGACCTAAAGTTTGAACTTGATGCTTTGAGGAGGCTACTCTAGTTCCCCTCTGATGTCCCCCTCTCCATCCCTTGTCTCCTAGCAGAAGTCATGTAGCCCTGGCCCTCCACGAGTTGTGGTCCTTGGCTTGTAGCTGGTGAACATTAGACAAAGGTACTCTCATCTTCCATTTACATCTGTCCAGGGACAGCCTCCTAGAGTAGGGTAAGACAGATCCTGAGCATGATCCTTCAGAGGCACAAGCTGATGTCTGTAAGAGGCTTTTGCTTCTAGCTACTACAGTGTTCACCCTAGCAACCCTGTATTTAACACAGAATGTACTAGTCATATGTGTGACCAGTCTCTGAGGCCTTCCTTGGTCCTAATGGCTTGAACCTTTATCACATTTGAATGGAAGAAGTCACACTTGCTGAGGTCCCAATCAAAAGGTCTGCTAGTCTGATATAGTCATCTTCCTTCTCCTAACTTGCTCTAGTCCTAGACAGCTGCTTCATCTGTTCATGAACCACCGTTATCAAAATGTTTCCAGCCCCTGAAAACTGCTGCTGGCCCTGCCTTGTGCTTGTTTGGGGCATGCATCCTTCCTTCCATACCTCCCCACAGTGAGAGCAGCGATACAACTCCCACCTTAGTTCAGAAATAATAGAAGCTCAGGGTTAGAGAAAAATATCCCACATGAGTATGGCTACTCAGCCCCACTGTTAGGGACTCCCCTCCAGGCTGCTTCACAACCGTTTGCCTGCTCGGCTCCCTCCCTGCAGCAAAATGGCGTTCACATTTGTCTTTCCTGCCTGGCATCCAGGCTCCAGTGCCTGCAAAGCTGGAGAGAGAGAAAAGGAAATACAAACCTGACCCAAGTCCAAACTCTTTCCACCCTGTCCTTGTGTCCTGTTTCTTCTTTTGTTTGGTTTGGGGAATGGTTTGAGCTAGTCTTAGACTGTAGCCCTGTCTAGGCTGGCATTCTACATACAGTAGCCTGGCCTCAAGCTTATGGCAATCCTCCTGCCTCTGACTTCTGAGTACTGAGAGTACAGGCATGCACTGCCATTATCTGCCTGAGCTTTTATTGCTGCTATTATTATTGTAAGACAGGGTGTTTCTCTGTAGCTTGGGCTGGCCTGGAACTCGGTAGGTAGCCCCGGCTGGCTTGAATTTATGGCAGTGTTCCTGCTTACCCTCCCAAAAGCTAAGATTCCATATCTATATCATGTTCTATTTTTTTGTCCTACATGGTTGATATGAAAAAGTCCATTGTCTTAGAGAACTTCCACCTTTGCCCTAAGAACAATGGTCCAATATCCAGTGCAGTACACCCTGCACTGTTCAGACTCATAGGTGAGCTTGGTTGTCATAGAGTGGAATTGATCCTAGTCTACTGTCTGTTTATAGGTCTTTCCAGTGTGGAAGCTAAAAGAAAGAACTGGGGGAGCAAGAAAAAGATCTACCAGAACTAAAGCAACATAATAGGAAAAAGGACAGTAGGGAGCTAGAGAGATGACTCAGCAGCTAAGAGCATGGGCTCTGCAATGATGAGAACTAAAATTCAGATCCCAGACCCAACATAACCACTCTGTCATCCCAGCTCCAAGGGGTGATAAAACAGAAAGATTGTTGAGGTTTTCTAACTTCCAGCCTATCCAAGAAAATGCAAGCCTTCTGTCTCATGGAGAGACCTTGTCTTAAAGGAATAAATGGAGAGTGACGGAGGTGGTCACCTGACAACCTCTTCTACCCTCTATGGAAGCATCCATGAATACACTCAAGACACACATATACATTTTTTAAAGATTAGGAAAGGTATGAGATGTAGAATAGGCAAAGGACTGATGGATGCCAAAAGTGGAAGGAGTTAAGTCTACCATCCAGGATCCTGAGTGAAATGTAGGCAGTAAGCCACCAACAGCATAGTGGAGAAGCTACAGACGAGCAGTAGTACAGATTCTGTCAGGGCATGTTGATCCTGAGATGACGGTGAGAACTTCAGTGCAAAGACACAGGGAGTCGTTATGTCAACTCCCAATAAGTGATGCTCCAAGATCCTCAGACTTAACCATGAGGCATGAAAAGGAGTAACATAGTACAGAACTCAGCTTTCTAGCATCTTCCTTCAGTGCTTTCCTGCTTCTCTCTGAGAGATACCCAGTTTCCTTTGTTTCTCTCCAGGGCTTTCTTTTTCTCTTCCGATACCTTGGCATACCTGCCAGTGTTCATCCCCTTTGTATCTCACCAGCTAGTGGGCTCGTCAAGGTGTTTACCCAAGAACAGCAATGTTTCCTCTGCTGCGCTAACAGTGGTGGTGTTATTTGGAACCTAGGCCTGAAGTAGCAAAATCATAGGATAAATTCTGGAATTTGCTTTAGTGTGTATAAAAAGTGGTCTTATGAATGAATATATCTCAGAAAATTCTGCTTCTAGTTCAGGCAATATATTTGACTTTTCCCCCACTCTCCTTGTATTTATTTTATTGATAAAATCAGGGGCTACATAAGCTAGATAATACAGTTGATGGGAGAGCCACAAATCTCTATTTCCAAAATTTGATGTTGATTTGATATAGATTAATATACTCTATAGTCTCTATGTATCAATAAACACAGTGGATTGGCTAAGCTAAATATATATTAAACCCATTTTTTATATGTGAAGAAATTTTACTTTGGAGATAACTCATTTAAAAATCTTTAGAATGGATTGGTTTTCAACTCATTCAGAAATTTCCTTCCCCCATGACCTTGCATTCTGCTTTGCTTCAGGTTCTAGATCTTTCCGTGGATGGTCTTTATATCTTTACTACACAACACCGAGAACCTCAAGAGCAGAGACACACACGATGATTTCACTTATTTAACAGTATATGTTGAGTACACACTTGGAGCGGGACTGGGCCCCAAGGAAGTAGTGATGAGCTGGGAGTAGTCTCTGTTTTCATTGGCTTTTTTAATCCAATAGGGAAGGAAAGGCAGCTAGGAGTCATAAGAAATGTATTTAGACTAGAATTCGGGAGTACAGTGCTGTAGTGCAAGTGTAGATATTCTTAACCTAGAAGACACGGCTTTATCCTGAGAGTGACATGGAGGAGGGGAGGCCCTTAGAGTGTGTAGGATGTGTAGGATGCAGAGGATGAGTAGAACGCCATGCACAGAGCCAATTCCACAGGGCTGAGTCTGAGAGGGCACACAGAAGTAGATCCTTGGCTTTGTGATTCAGAAAAGTGGTGATGATAATGGTTGGGACAGCGTAAAGAATTAGAGAGAAGAGCTCTCTTCCATGACAGCATATATACTAAAATTGGAACAATACTGAGAAAATTAGCTTGGCCCCCGCGCAAGGATGACACTCAAATTCTTGAGCATTCCATATTTTGGGGGGGATGTAAAGTGATTAAATAAATAAATGAGAAAAAGAAAGAAAGAATTAGAGAGAAAACAAATAATAGTGCTAACAACTTGGAAGGGAAAGTAATAGGGAAAGTCAGAGCAAACACTTGAAGGCATTTACATTTAGTTGTCTGGGAATGATCAGGCCAAGACCACAAACATGTGCTATAGCTTTTATAATTTTTAAAAATCATTTATGCATTTAAATATTTTTTTTTGCCAAAAGAAGACTAGAGTAATATGCTAGCCGTAGACCCACTTCAAAAACTAACTAGTTTCATTAGTATTTAGGGGTTGCAAATGAGTCAGACTCTATTATTTTAAGCACAGTAACTTATTTTCTTAAAACTTCACTTTCTTTAAACAACAACAACAACAAACAAACAAAAAAAAAACCTTCACTTTGTCAAGAAGAGGTGTTTTGGATTAAAATATAGTGTTCAAACATGATTTCAAAATTTCAGGAAATAGTTTTGGCAATAGGGACATAGTTGGTCTTTAAAGGATGAGGACCCCATTTGGTAGTTTCCGATGGGTGAGAGCAGCCCAGAGGGGCAGCAGTAGTCACTCTTACTTTTGTCTACTGGAGGGTGTCAGTGTATCCAGCTTGTCTAGCATATACAAGGCCCTGCATTCAGCACCAGCTTTGCAGGGAAAACAAAGAGTAACTCTGTGTGGTAAGAAGAGAAAGGGCACATACTGATCCATGCAAATTTCAGTGTGGTGTCTCATGTTTGGTTACCTATACCTAGGTCATAATGCCTCTAAGTGGCTCACTTTTTGCTCCTTTCCACCATTAAGCTTATGGTCCTAGACTCCACATCTTTCTGATAATTCTTCCCATATATAAGATAACCCTAGGGCTTAAGCTTTCTGGCCAGGATCCCTCCTGCCTCAGCTTCTCTGCTGATTTCCAGCCATTGGGCAAATGTCCGGTTTGCTGATTCTGATCCTGCTTCCAGTGGCCGCCTTTTGGGCCACTATGTAGGGCAGGAAAGCTGCTCTCTGGTCAGTGAACCCGCCGGGCCTCCCAACACTGTGTCTGTTGTATTCTGTTTTCTGCTACCAGATGCAGTTAGTTATGCTTCCTCGCAGTCGGCTTCCTGGCCTGCCAATCTGTTCACCTACCGCAGATCCAGCACCAGGGCAGGAAGGGGCCAGCACAGTGGCTGGTAAGTCCAGGGACCTTTTGGCTGTGACGCCAGGACTGTCCAGGGGGCTTGTGCTTCTCTGAGCTTGGTTTGTGAGATGGACATCCTGTTGGCCTCAAACAGGGAGGCTCGTCCCTAGCCCACTTTCAGATGTGTCACAGACAGTGGCCACAGGGGGCAGCCGCTGGCCCCACAGGTAACTGAGGACCACTAAGAGGAAGTTGTAAAGAAGTCATAGGGCATTATTCCTCCAGCTTTGGTGGGAAGGGGACATATTTTTCTAGTATTTGTAGTCATTGTGTGTATGTCTGCTTTTAAGGTGTCTCTAGGTTTTTTTCTTTTTTGTTTGTTTGTTTGTTTGTTTGTTTTGTTTTTCTCGCCGATGTTTCACATCCTGAAAGTCTGGGTTGAGGGCTGGAATTGAGGCTGGGTAAGAGGGTTTTTCAAAGATTATGAATCTATTGCAAGAGTCTTTTGAGACTGGAGCTCTTCAAACAATGTGAATATGTTCCCCTGAGTCTTTACTTCTCTGGAGTTCTCAGTTATTGGAGGATATTTGGGGTGAAGGCAAAAATTTAAAGAATGTACACTTCTTGTTAATGTTTCAAACAGTGGTACTTTGTACAGACTGTATTTGTGAGTGTAAAATATGAAGAGCCATGCTCAGGAATGTGCTCTCCCCAGAGATCAGAACTGAAGGACACAAGCATTAAATCTCTCCACCGACTCGTTTGCTCTACTCAGTAAGATGGGTCAGGTGAGTGAAAGAATGAATTGTCCTGAGTTGCAGTTAGTGCAGGTGCATTCAAATATGAACACTGGCTTTTGACTTATACACTGGAGCTAAATTCATGTTTAAAATAAGCCTCATAATGACATAGTTAATAAAACAAGATAATCATGGGCTATTAAACCAGAGTAAACCTATATGGGTCAACCTGAATATTTTTTGAAGCAACACGTTCCTCTTTATTTTAATAAAAGAAAAATCAAAAGCCAGTCATTGACACAGGTGGCATATCCACTGACTAAATTTCAGTGTCTAATAGACATCTCTCAACTCTTCCTTACATGCTGCTTTTAAAGAATTCTAGAACCCGGTGGGGGGTTGCAAGTGACTTCTGGCCACAGCTGGGATGGGTTCTGCATCCCTGGAGATCTAGAGGAGAGATAGGCTGGAACCTGAAGCTTGCAGCTATGCTATAAAAGACTCACCAGCACCCACACTGGGGACTGTTTCGGGTGCCCCGGGGTGTATATCTAAGGTCAGCTGAGATAATATGTTTAAAGGTCACAGGTCTTCCTAGCTGTTACTACAAACTTGGTGCTGGTCGATCCTGGCAATTTGTGGCAAGAAGTTTTTCAGTTCTTTTCCTCAAAGGTCATGAAGTATGAACCCAGTAAGGGGCCAGTCAGCCCACAGATGTATGAATTCATGTCAAGAGGGAGAAATGGAGGTTGGGTGTGGTGGCACCTACCCCTAATCCATCCCGGCGCTCAGGTGGCAGAGGCAGAAGGATCCCTGTGGGTTTGAGGATAGCCTGGTGTACATAGTGAATTCCAGGACCCTGTCTCAAAGGTAAAGTGAGAAAGAGAAAGGGAGAGAGAGAGGGAAGAACAAAGAGAGGGAGGAAGGGAGGGAGGGAAGGAGGAAAGGAGGGATGGAGGGAGAACGGGAGGGAGGGAGGATTGGGGCAGCCTTGATGGCCAAGCAATGTAAAGTGTAAGTTCAATGGCAATTGAAGAAACAAGTAAGAATTGTGAGACCGTATTCCAGCCCCTATCTAAACAGAACCCTGGAGCCCTCAAGCCACAGTCATAGCCCTTGGTGATCAGAGCATAGCCTCTGTCCTAGTGGCCCATTCCCTCTCCAGTTGGTTCTATTAGAACACCTCCCCTGATAGGACTGTCATTTTTCTATCTCATCTTCCACCTTTTGGTCCTTATTCTGTAGCTGGAACCCTTTATGACATTGTCTCTTGATTATTCTGACAAAATTTCCAACACCCCCAAACATAGCACACTCTGTCTCTGGTCTTCTAAAAGATACTCAGAGCCCTCTGGCATACTCTGGCCTAGACCAAGATCCTCTCTCACAGCCTGTGGGATCAATAGCCGCAGCTGTTCAGCTACCTTGTCCAAGGTGAAGCCTCAGCATTGTTTTTGCGGGCGACCCCACTCAGCCTCGTTGTCAATTCCATGACAAGGCTGTGTCTGGATGCTTCCAACTAAACACGCAGTTGTTAACCTTCGTTGCTTCCATGCGTTTCCCATAGAAGGGCCTTCAGATGCTTCTGTTGGGGTGGGTGCACGTGTGTATAGAGGTTGGAAATTGAAGCCACGTGTCTTCTCCGATCATTTTCTGTCTTATTTTTTGAGACAGTTTTTTTTCCCCCAAACCTGGTAGTAATTGATTCGGCTGGACCGGCTGACCAACAAACCCCGGAAGTCCTTCTGCCTCCAGCTCCTCAGCACTAGAATCAGAGGTACCCACCCACCGGGACACCTCACTTCTGCGTTAACGCTGGGGATCCAAACTTGGGCCCTCATGCTTGCAAAGCTACTACTTTACCAACTGAGCCGTCTCCCCAGCCCCCACTGAACGCTTTCATCGCTTACTCTCAAGAGAGAAAATAAGGAGCTCTGTGTCTTTCTGCCCTTTGTCTATCTGACATGACCATTAACATCTCCTCATGGTAAATCATCTCTCCTGAGTGTTGGGGGTTTCCAGTGCCACCGCAGGAATGACGTCATGATTTAGCATCTAGGGCTCTTGTGTGCGTTCCCATTTCTAAGTCAGAAGCACTCGTGTTTGTATCTCGTGCTTCTGCAGCAGATCTGAATCAAAGGTTTTAACCATTTGAAAACTCTTTTTGCTGTTGTTGGGCTCTATTTTGGTTGTGAATTCGGTACCTCACAAGCTCACTCTTCTTCTCAGCTTACTTCCACCTCAACTAGGAAAAGCAGACACTCGTTTTCACTGTTTTACTAATAAAAATGTTACAGGTTGTAACCAGAGTCAGGGCACTGAGGTTACAGACATCATTAGAGATCTCTTGGACTTGGCAACCTTAAATCAGCACCTGTGGGCATGTTTAGTCATTACCCAGAGCACATGTTTACAGCTTGTCCACAGATACACAGAATCTTTGTGATCTAGCTGTACTTTATCTCCAACTTTACCTAGTTTTTCTAGAGACTTTGAACTAAAACAAAAATGAGATTCTACGGTATAGTTTCAGTGTGATGGTTCCGTACTAGCACTTGGTGGTCTCTGCTCTTTGAAAACTGTCTCTACAGTTAAGTTTTCACACTGTTATGGGATTTAGTATCTCTCCTCTTAAAAGTCAGAACTTTGGGGCTGGAGAGATGACTCAGAGGTTAAGAGCACGGGCTGTTCTCCAAACGTCCTGAGTTCAGTTCTCAGCAACCACATGGTGGCTCACAACCATCTATAGTGAGATCTGGTGCCCTCTTTTTGCCTGCAGGCACACACGCAGGCAGAATACTGCATAAATAAATAAATAAATAAATAAATAAATAAATAAATAAATAAATAAATAAATAAGATCAAGAATATCAGTATTTTCGTCCTTGTATAAACATTGACCCTTTTTTTCATGTTAGGAACCTTTGAATTTCCTCCTTCTGTTTTCTCATAAAATATGATAAACTGTTGCAAACTGTCTTTTAATTTATGTGTATGCTAGTTAGTGATTTAACTATTTACATGCAACTATTAAGTTATAAACATCCTATTATGCTACAGAATAGTAAGGTCTCTTGGGAAAACAACTGAATCAGAAACATTTTTCATTCCTGGTGTTTGAAGTAAA